CGGGCCGCAGCGATGGTTCCCCGGGGCGCCCGGGTCCCCCCGGGGCTCGGCGGTCACCCTGCCGGCGCTCTGCTCCTGCTCTGCTACCTGGTGAGCGCCCGACCCGGCTCGGGTCCTGGGGACGCGGTGGGGGGGACGGGGCGGGGGGCCGCGGGAACCTTCGCCCCCGGAGGCGGGGAGCGCGAGGCTAGTTCTTCTCTCCTCCCTCGCTGCGGGCGCTCCGGGCACCGGCGCTGGGAACCCGGGGCGCAAAGTGGGGCGCGTGGACCGGACTTGCGGGCTACTCCATTCCGCTCCCTCCCAGACTCCCCGTCGACCCTGTCCGGGCCCCCAGGAGACCCCTTCGGGTCCCCCACTCCCTCCGGGGGGCTTCGCCACCCCGCGATCACTCCCTGCCCCGCGTCTCTCCAGATCCTCCCTCCGTCTCTCCCTCCCTCCCCTCTCTTCTGCTCCAAGCTCCTTTCCTTCTGGTGCCCAACTTGGTCTCTGCCACCCACTCCCTTCCACCCTGAGTTTCCTTCCACGAGGTCCTCCTGGCCGGGACGGTTTGGTGCCCACGCGCCTCCCGCTCCCAGAACTCTTCCACTCCTCCTTGGGTCACTCCAGCCAAGTTGCAGATGCCAAGAGAAACCTAGTTTTCCCGGTCCCCGCTCCGCGCCCGAGCGGCGACTCGAACGGTGTCTTTTCAAAGACTTGTGCTGGGCTGTGTTTGCACACTTCCTGGCTGCTGGTTTACTCCTCAGACACACGCAAGAACTTATTTTCTTAAGAGAACCGACTCATTTTTAAATACCAGAGTAACTGAGACCCTCAGGAGGAGGTGTGTGTGGGGGGGGTATTTCTCAGATTCTTTGATGGCTCGCTTCTCTGCTGGTTTTCCATTGCCTTAAATGTACCATAGCAAATTTACACCAGGCAACACCCTCACAGCCCAGCCTACCTTCTGTTCCAGGACCCCGAGGAAACCTTGGGGTTATCTCACTATATATTACTGTAAATATATGAAATGGAAATTGCTGAATCATGAAACTGATGTAATAGGAAATTCACAGAATGCTAAAAAAAAATGAGCAGTGTCATTGTCCAGAATTCTTTTCATTTATGTGTCATTGGCAGTCTTTGGAATCTTTTCTTCAGAGAAGCCAAAAGCTGCTTTAGGAGATACTGGCAGGAATTTGAATTGAATTCTGAACAAATTTGCCACTCAACCCAAGTGTTGTTGTTTTAAACACTCTTTACCGCTTGGATGTTTTATTTCTTGAAGCAAAAAAAAATAAATGTAAAAATGCACATTGTAATTCTGCTGTTTTTAGATCTACCTGTTGAGCAATCCTTGCTTTGACTTGTGTTTCAGAATTAGCCAATATTAAATTTTGTGGCTGAGTTTACTTCATATTTTCATAAGAAGTTGTCAGTTAACATGAATGATTTCTTTTTGGCCTAAGGGATATTGTTATTTAATATTTATGCCACAGGGTTATAGCATGCAGGCTCATAAATAAATCTGCCATAACAAATGACAGGGTTTTCAGTTTAAACAGATGATCCTTGTACACAAGGCGCTGCTGGTTCCCCATAGAAGCAGAAATGCTGTTGTAGAACAGTGTGGGGAATATTCACACACAGGTGGGGGTCTGAAAAGTTCTACATGAGCATCTCAACAGTTCAAGTTCAAAACCTCATGGGCTTCTTAGGCAGTCCATGAGGAGAGATGCAAAGGATGGAGCAAATTCAGAAGTTCTATATGGGCGAAGGCCGGGTGGAGAGAACAGAGCCCTAAGAGGGGACAAGATGCCAGGGTAGATTGGAGCCATGGAAGGAAGTGGTGGGATAGAGCTTTAGAATAAGAGACTCTAACAAATATGATAAGCTAAGCATCATGCCTATAATCCTACCTACTCAGGAGTCTGAGATCTGAGAATTGAGGTTCCACATCAGCCCCAGCAGGAAAGTCCACCAATTTCTTATTTCTAATTAAACACACACACACACACACACACACAAATCTAGAAGTAGAGCAGTGGCTCAAGTAATAGAGTGCTAGTTTTGAGCAAAATAATTTCAGGGACAGCTTCCAGGCCTTGAATTCAAGTCCCAGGACTGGCACACACACACAAAATACTATAGTGTGGAAGATAACTAGCGTATGGATGAATGTCTTGGCAGTCAGAGAAGATTGGGAGCAAATGGAGGGGCCTTGTTGATGCTTCCTGCCTAGGTGGGCTTCCTTCTGATGCTGTGACGATGTAGCAGGGTTTACAGACCCAAGACAGCTAAAGTCACCTTAGGAGGTGGGCTCCAGGCTTTATTCTGAAGTCTAGCCGTGTGCTGTGGATTTTATTCTGCTGTCTGGCTGCATTCTCCCTGATGCTTCTGAAAAGTTAGGCTTCTTGATTGTGGAGAAGGTTAGGGCAAATATAAACATCCACATGAAAACATGAAAGGTCCACAGACAGATGTGAATCCATCATTGTGTCCCTCCTGCTCAATCAAGAATGTGTCTTTAATTGGCAATGACTTGTCACAGAAGATAGGTAGGTGTGTGGAACACAGCAGCTAGGCGGGATCTCAGCCACACAAGCACATGAAGGGGAAAGTGAGTCCAAAAATTTGAATCCACAATAATAGCTTCCGTTGTGCTAAGTCACTTTATAGGCATTACGTTATATTAATTTTAACAGTAACCTTGTAAGGTAAGTGCTGTTAGGGTCTCCTCCATTCCGGTAAATAAGAGAGGCTCAGAGAGGTCAAGTAAAGTCCCTTAAGCCTCACAAATAGTCTGAGATTAAACCCAAGTCTATATATCCTACAGAGTCCTAGCTTTAACCCATGGTAGTATATTTATTACCTTTGGGGATTTGCTGCTTGTAACCCATTCCCCTCATGCATAAATGTACAGTCCATTAGCAAAGTTCTAGCAATTAGCAGCTACTGTGCCATTGGTCAGGATGTGAGGTCATTTCTAAAGTAATCTAAAATATACAAAGAAGGAAGCTGAGTCCACAGAATAGAAGCAGGATGTTAAAGGCAAAAAAAAAAAAAAAAGTAAAAGAAAATATTTGCCATTGGTAATGGAGAGGTAAAAGATTGGGCCTTTATGTAGCAGGAGGCAGCTGGCAGGTTGAGCCTTTGCATTAGTGTGAATGCATGTCCCAAGTGTACAGTGAGACAGTGAGTGTGCCTGGGAATGTTTCAGAGACGAAGTCTGATTTGAGCACCGATTCTGGATTGCCACTTTGTGTTAGCCTGCTCACAAGGACTGGGCTGAGCATGGCTTTTCTGAGCAGATAGCTCTGAACCCTTGCCCTCACGGGCAGTCAGGGTTCCGAGGGAGGGGTGCCTTTCTTCTCCCTCAGCTGGGACAGAGTAACCTTCAGGATCAGCCCACGACAAGTAGTGTGACTAGCTAGGCTACTGCCAAAGCATGAATAATTGTGATGAGGCGTGCAAGATAAGTCGCAGAATGATGCCAAGGAGATTTTTGAAAAGATGATCCCTGGTCCCCAATAACTGCCAGCAAATTCTGAGGTCACCAAAGGTCAACAGGCAGAGAGCCTCCTCAGAGAGGGCAGGCGCCCCCAAAGCGAAGGGTAAGGAAATTGCTTCTGCCGGGGTCACTGGCCTGACAGTCCCACTCCGTGCAGGATTCTTTTTCTCCCTGCCTACCAGATCCTCCTGCCATTTTCTCACACCATTGAAATCGACTTCCTCTACGCCTAGCTAGAGCCAGCCTGAGTCTACCCCAGCCCTGCCTGTGACAAACAAGCTTCTAGAACGAAATTCTGGCCATCCCAACTCTAGTCTCGAATGCATAATTTTTTTTTCTTAAGTGAGAAAATAAGTCTCACCACAGCCAATACTGGTGTCAACCGTAGTGCTGAAATAATCTGAGTGACCATTTGAGCTTGTTAGACATCTAGGTGACAAAGAAACCAGAGACATTAGCAGCTCAGATGTGTGTAGGGATGGATCGTTAGCAAACGCCGGCTGGGATACAGTCTTGTACTGGAGTCTCTGCGAGTGCCACACGGCATCCGTTAGCCACCCAGGAGTCTCTAGTAGCCCCTTACTATACATGCAGTGCAGGGTGTAGGAAGAGCAAAAGAAGATTAGAGACTGTTACTCGGCTTGGGAAAACGTGGTTGTGTTTTTGAAATACAGAGACCGTCTCCTAATTCCGCGTCCTCCAGTATACTAACTGGAGCTGTAACATTTTCCCCACCAGGGTGTCTGCCTTTTCTGCCTTCTATTTCCCCTGGCTGCCTGTTGGCAAGAGCATAGGAGCAAGGGGAAAGGTAGAGGAGAAGAAATAAAAGAACCCAGGCCATTCACTGAGAAGATAGATAGACTTGAGTGCACCATAAATAGCCTAAAGTGAATTTAGTTATCCTCTCTATTGGCTAGTCCTGTCCCTCTGAGAGTAGAACTGTGGGGCAGAAGGGCAGTGAGGAATTATAGTCTCTGCTTTGGCAGCTCTTGCCTACCAAAAGAAGGGGCTCTTCCCGGTGGCAAGTTGACTCCCCTAGGTGTGTGAGACTGTGGGAAAGTTACTAACTGTTCTCCCTAGACTGGAAGCATACAGATGAGCAGGAATCTGAGCCCTCTCTCATTTTCAAGATGAAAGTGATAGTTCCAGATGCTCTAACTTGTAGCCAGAGAGTGGTAACAGGCAAAAGCTAAAGAGTGGAGAGCATCATTTCGGGTGTTTCTGGAAGGCAAGAGGCAAACTAACTATCTTTGCCTTTAAATCCACATTGGTTAATGTGGATTTGATTTTTTGATTCTGCTTTTCAGAGGCTGGTTGACCCTGTACAAGTTACAAATCCACCTGAATCTATTCCATGCCCTCAGCTGTAAAGTAAGAATGTTGTTCTCCCCATAGGCTTCTAGGAAAGGGTTAGGTTTGTGAAGGTATACACGAGAGGACGTGGTTAAACATGAGCAAGTAAGATGATTTTATGTGCTTGTGCTAATGGCTAGCACACAGTAGGTCCTCCATGAAATAAAACCAGATCAACTTTAGTGATCCAGATTCAATTGGAGTCAGAAGGAAAGAACTAAGTAGGGGACAGGGGGAGGGGATCTTACTC